AGAATCCCCTCACTGATTACACTGTAAATGATAATCTACCTTAACCAAAAGCAAAGTAGACTATCACTCACCCACACCAGATGGAAAACTCTACAGACTGTCGGTTCACACCCCATCACAAGCCAGCAATATATATATATTGTCACATGAATATCAGAGTGCAAAAGCAAAAAACAGAAAAAAAAGAAAAAATGAATTCATTTTTTTTTTCTTCCTTACAACTCCCCCTGTTCAGAACCTCTTGCGTACAAGGCCGCCCGCGTATATATATACATATATCGTCAAACAGAGCTGCCCTGTAAACCGTTGGCAGAGAGGGAGAAGAAGACAACAAACAAGGGGCTGTTACAAACTGTTTCGTTGGAGTTTCACTGACTCATCAGGAGGTACTTAACACGTATATATTATGAATTTATGAGCTACGAAATTATAACATTGATTCTGGAGTACTCTGTGTAGAAATGGTATTGAAGATTGTCCGACTAATTGTTCGTGTATGACTGAAGAATACAAAGGATATAGTCCATATCATAAGAAATTCAGCGAGAAGTGCATTCATGTTCACGGTAGGTCTAGTCGTAGATTCTTCAGTCTGTGGGAGCTGTGAAGTTCTCTCTTACTACTGGGCTATTTGCTGGGAACTCCTAAGGGTAGGGCCCCACAGGACGGCAGCAAACGGTTTCGGAAGTTGGGAGGCAACTAACGAGACCCCACATACGGATTTTGCCGCCGCGGAAGTCGTCGGCCGACCGTTTCCACTTGGTCCGCGGCCCCCTTATTCCTACAAAAAGGAAAATTCAAAACTGCCCCGGAATTTCCTTTTTGGGTGACCGCCTCCAAAGCAAAAGCAACATTTCGCGGTGGCGGTGGGGTCCCCTCTGATTCATCATCTCTGTTGACGGTGGGCAGTCGGCTGGAAGTAGAAGACCTCCGAAACCGTTTGCCGCCATCCTGTGGGGTCCTACCGTAAGAAATACAAGGAGAAAAGAAAAAATACAAGAAAAGAAACAAAATTTCAGTATCTCAGGGTATACTCGCAATACGACTTTCCGGGATGAATCACATATGAACAACGATTTCATAAAAATGGACATTCTTCATTTTTTGAATGAAATTGAAAATCCAAACTGAGGCCAAAATTTAACGCAATTTCGGGTGCCGCGTTCTGAAGACGCCCCACCCCCTCGATGTATCTGGACTCTGCCAAAGCCCACCTACATCCAAGGGGTACGGCATTCTGAAAACGCCGCACTCCCTGGATGTATGTGGACTTCGTCCGAGCCCAGATACATCGCGGGTCTAAATTTTCAACTTTAGCACTATAACTAAAAGAGGGCACTTTCCAAAACAAACGACAAAAAAAGAGAAAACAAACATGAAGAGCAAACTGAAACTGTTCTTGTGATGACTTCTTCTTTAGCTCCCCCTTTACTGTGTGTGTATGTGCAATAACTCAATTCACTAGATGACCTGTTGTGGCTTCGCTCGCAAAAACAGATATGATGGGTAATGCATTCATGCTAGATGACCTGTTGCGGCTTCGCTCGCAAAAAACAGATATGATGGGTAATGCATTCATGGCGGGGACAACTGGCCCATGCAAAATCTCTCTCTCTCTCTCTCTCTCTCTCTCTCTCTCTCTCTCTCTCTCTCTCTCTCTCTCTCTCTCTCTCTCTCTCTCTCTCTCTCTC